GATTTGAAATTTGAAATAAAATGTCCCCGGCTATATTGTATGCGGTGTGACGAAATACATAACATTACCTTCTACCTACATATTATTATTATTATTATTTATAAGGTACTAAGCAGGTTCCTCGTAATAATGACGTAAAACGACGCGCCGAGCATGAACATATTGCGCAATATGGCGGTGAACCGGCCCGGACGCATGCCGGAAAACGGCGGACCGGAACGGTGCGGCAGCGGACGGAAAACGCGCGATCGGGAACGGTGCATGCGGACTGCAGCAGACGGATGACGCGGCGGGACCGGGTCGTCGAGTATCGGTGCGCACGCGAACCAGGGCGGGCGGCGGCAGGGCTCGGTACAAATGACTTGATCAGTGAGAAATTTCGTATCCCCACGAGGGCCGTACACAATGGTCTCCGGGACTGTGCTCTCGCACACACACACACACACACACACACACCCGCAGTACATCCGCACACACGCACACCCACACTACCACACACTTGTGATATTATATTATACTGCACACGTGTATTATCCCTCTAAATAAATTAGCCGACGCGATCAATGAGCAAACAATCTGCGTACGCGGTCATGATTCTTCCATACGACGGATATCGACGGCCGGCGCATATATCGTGTGCGCCGCCGATTTATTTGAATTTTATGTGCATAATATGTATTATTACATACCTCCGGGCTCATTCGGTCCATGTAACGATATAGCTAGGTACCTCCTAATATGCATTACAACATCGTTCATGTTTTTTATGCGTTCGGCTTTTTACGACGACCCGTCGGATATTCGCGAGGAGAACCAGTGAACGACCGTTGCTATTACATGTATACCTACCCTCTACGACTATATTGTAATATAATATTATTGTTATTTATTTAATATATTATGAATTACAGTGGCCCTCATTTTATGTACAAATTTAGATTTAGTATTTACAATTATTAAGATATCTGAAATTGTACAAATAATTTTAGGTATAGACTATAGACTATAGGTAACTTAAAAATTATAAAAATCAGAAAGGCGGTATGCGCATTGGTGCAAGACATTAAATAATGTAATTACTAATTGCACATGCAATGGGTGGTAAAATGAGGAATATAGAAAGGAGCCATGTGGATCTAGAAGAACTCTGATGACCAGTTGAGACCAAAATATGTAAGAACATTTTGAGGAACTATTACGTTAGTGAGTCTTAAAATATGAGAACAGCTGAATTAATGTTTTGCGCCAGCCTTTTCACCATGAACAAAACCACACACTGCAGGATCTGCTAAATCATCATGACGTAGTCGTTATTAATGTTATGTTGGTTGTCACAATGTAATAATAATTTTTGTGAGTATAATATGCACTACAACGAGAGACAAGCAAATGTTGTTCAGAGACTTGAAGGTTGAGTTGGTCTGTAAAAATAATATTAGGTTCTGAGGCATAGATGGCTGTACGAGTGCCAAGATTGTTTAGATCATTATTTTGGTATTGGTTGATTGAGTTTCTTAATATTGCGCTGATCGAATATTTGTTGCTATTATTGTTCTTAAAGAGTATTCCAATGTATGTTTTATTCTTCTTTTTTTGAGTGATTTTGAGCCTGTGATCTTTATGATGCTGAGAACTGGGCTGTTTTTGAAAGCACCAATATTGACAATCTTAGGGCTGTATTATGAATAGGATCTAATGTTTTGAATGTAGCAGAAGATGCTCCTACATATAGTATAGAACCATACTCTAGTACTGAGAGGATTATTAAGTTGTGTATTGTCTATAATGTTTTGCTTTGTGCCTCGCATTCGAGGTTACTTCGTGTTTTTATTATATTTAGTTTAGTATTTGCTTCATTTTTTAATTTGGTAATGTGTGTTCGCCATGTTGTAAATTAGAAATAAGATTGTTAGTTTCTAGGTACCACATTAATCTTAAGTTAATATTTTTTTTTAGTAGTTTTGTCATGGTACATATAATGGATATAGGAAAGTAACTAGATACGTGTTTTTTAGGTTTATTGGGTTTATAGATTGGTTTGATTATGGAGGTTCGCCATGTGGTTGGGTACTCGTTTTCTATCCAAATATGATTAAAAATCTTCAGTAGGTTTGCAGTATTGCATGGCGATGATATTGATGGTATGATAACCGCTGCTGTCTCCCTCGTGATAATGTTCCGCGGCTGTTGTTTATTTGTTTTGTTGTTGTGTTTGTATTATATCAAACATATTAAAATGTGCCTTTTGCAAAGTCATGCTTTCAGTGCCTTCGTAGACCAGACTTTCAATTGTCCGTACGGCTAAGGTGGTACTGACAGAGGCTGGCTTGAATTCTTGTCTGATTTCAAATGTGTGCTTTTTGTCTGACAGCCTCTATGTCATTTTTTGTTCGCTCTGCAACACTTAATTTTATTTTGTACATTTTTTCAAATCAAGCACAGCATAAGTTATCACATATGTAAAATTAATTAATTCAGATTTTTATTGATTCATATGAATGCAGTAGTATTTTTTGTGTCAACCGATTGTGTGTATGTTTAAAGGCGGTCCTGTGAATTTGTTGTCAAAAATATTGTTCTTGCCATCTGAAAAATTACATGCATCAATCCATTGTTTCCAGTCTAGGGTATTTATTTTATGTACTGGCAGTAGCAGTGAATTTTTTTGTATTATTGTGAGTTGAACAGCGGAGCACGTTTCTGTCAATTTATTGTGAGTACTGGTTGGCCATATCTGTTATATGTATCATTATAAGGCAGACAGGCAAAAACGTATTAATTGGTTAGCCATTCAGGCATATTATATAAATTTACATTGTATTATTATTCATGTAGCCACATTCACGAAGATATTTTTCACATTATGATTTATGATGAACTGTTCACAAAGCTAAATTCAGGCATCATAGTTTGATGTTTATAGTTGAACAGTTCAGCCACTTGCAGGCAAATTATTATATATTTTATGTCGTTATGCTTTGTTTTGAGGTGTTTAATTATTTTTGATTATCGTTTTCCGTTATAATTACGTTTACAAATTTCTCAAATATAACGTTATAAACATAACTTTATTATAACGTTTGCAAGCCCTGCTTTCCACTTTTATTAAAATTTAACTCATAAACCTTTCAAAATAAGATTTTTAAAATTTGAATATTGTGAATTTTAAAACGTTTGTAGATATTACACTTACTCGTAGAAGGATTGCAGTAAGAAAAATACACTCAATTCGATTTCAAGTAAATTTCACTACGAGTTCAAAAATATGCGCTAACAGAAATTTTTATCGGACAAAAAGGTTAGGATCTAGTTACCAAATTTGATACTGGCAAAACTGCAAAATATCGATATTTTTACCTACCCAATAATTATATTCGTGTTGCGCGTTATTGACATGCGCGCGTTTGCACATAATATTGTCAGCTATTTATTTTCAGCACCACAACAGTCATTAAGTACGAATACACATTTACACTATTCGCTTGCACACATATATTATGGTAATGTACCTATTATTGACATTACGTAATAATTATAAACAACAATATTGTGTAATATGCAAGGTTGGGCAAGTTAATGAAAATAATTAACTTTGACAAGTAAAGTTAATTCAATTAAATTGACTTCAGTTAAAAATAAAAAGCTTACAAAAAAAATTTAACTCGATAACTTAAATGTTAAGATGGAAAATAAAATGAACTTAACTCAGTAAAAAAATTTTTTTTCAAAGCTTCGATATTTTTAAGTCGTTAAGTGCCCTAGTATTTTGATATACACAAACATTTACCAAGATGTTTACAACTGTGTAAACATAAGATTATTATGATATAATAGTATATTATAAATAAATAGGTAACCAAAATCGAAAAAGAGTCAAGAAATCAGTATTGTCTGTTGGCTCCACATGATACGAAAGTAAAATTAACTTAACTGCACGATAATCATAATTCAAAGTTAAGTTACAACAATAACAATTTTAACTGAATAAGTCAATAAGTCAAAACAAAAATAACTAACTAGTTCGGTGAAAGAGTTAAGAATTTAAAAAAATTAACTTTTTAACTTAACTTTAACTTGTTGACAAGTTAAAGCCCACCTTTGGACTTATATGTAAAAAACAATTAATGTGGCAGATCACGTCATGATATAATATAATACGTAGGCCTAAACCTTACCTATACTGTTTGTTTGAACAAAACAAAATATCAAAGGTCAGCTATAAAAGGGCGCGAAATATAAAAAGTTTCGATTTAATTTTTTGAAAAGTTTCAACGGAACAGTTAAAAATTGAAATTTGACATATAAAATAATATGTCAGACGGCAGTACTCGACTCGTTATTTCGGATTGCGAACTTGTTTTGATAGAATATGCAGCATCATTGTCATGCGCAGTTTTCCTAATTTGACGAGTACCTACTCACACGAGGATACACCTACGAGCGCGGGACCACTCCAAATCACAGCGGTCGACCGCAAACTTAATTGTATTATTCTTGGGTGGCCAAGGCCACGTCAGTGTATAAATTGCTATGTAGGAAGTAATTATCTCTTTTTCGTCGCTGACGTCGTTTCGGTCGGATCGGATGATTAAGTGTAATTTATTATTCATTACCGTGGCGAGGTCGCGAGTCGTTCAGTCCCACGCGATTCGCCGTCTGCAATATGAGGACGATACGCAATAACATTCCGATAATTACACAGGCATCGCAATAACATCACAACACGAATAATTAATAACAACGTATAGGTACCAATAGTGGATCGTACCCACGCGAAAAGACGTGCGACGGTACTTCGGAGCAGTCGGTTGTCGCGCAGTAACCGGCAGTGTCTCTGGTCTACTCAGCTGCAGTTTGCCTATAATATTCGCCTTTTTCTCACCAACAACTTCGGCTCTATTCGTTTCGCCGACCATCGATTCTGCTAACGACGCGCGTTACACGCACAGACCAAAACAAAACAATTCCTGTTCCAAACTGTACCGTTGACCAGTAGCGAGATGTCCTCGTCGCAGCTGTTACTCGACTTGGTGGCCGGCTGGTGGACGGTAGCGGTTCTGGCGTTGTTCGCGGCCGCGGCGTACCACTTTTGCACGTCCACGTTCGGCTACTGGCGCGACCGAGGCGTCCCGTACGTGCGGCCGACTGTTCCACTGTTCGGCAACATCGGCGGGCTGGCCCTGGGCGTCGAACACCAGGCACGCATGTTCAGCCGGATCTACGACGGGTTCCGCGGTCACCGGTACGGCGGGTTCTTCCAGATGCGCACGCCGCACCTGATGGTGTGCGACCCGGCGCTAGTGAACCGAGTGCTGATCGGCGACTTTGCGCACTTCACCGACCACGGCATGTACACGGCCGGCCCGGACGAGAACCCTCTGGCCAACGGGCTGTTCAACATGAAAGGCGCCCAGTGGAAGATCATGCGGCAAAAGCTGAGCCCCGTGTTCACCGCCGGCAAGCTGCGGCACATGCGCGGCCAGGTGACCGAGTGCAGCGAGCAGCTGATGCGCAACGTGGCCGCGGACCTGCCGGCCGGCGGTGGCCAGATGGAAATCCGCGACGTGCTCGGCAAGTACTCGACCGACGTCATCGGCACGTGCGCTTTCGGACTGCACCTGAACGCCATCAACGACGAGCGGTCCTCGTTCCGTAAACACGGAAAGGCCGTGTTCGCGCCGTCGTTCCGCGTGCTTCTCAAGGAACTGGCCTGGATGGTGACGCCGGCTCTGAGACGCGCGCTCCGCATCGGCGACATGCCGCCGGACGCCGCACAGTTCTTCACCACCGCGTTCACCGACACGATGAAGTACCGGGAGGAACACAACATCGTCAGAGACGACTTCATGCAGTCTCTGATCCAGGCCAGGACCGACTTGGTAGTCAACAAGACCGAACCGTCAGGTATGACGTTGACAATAAAATACATTGTAAATAATATATATATAGCAGGTGACACTGCAGCTATATATAGGTGACACGTCAAAGTATCCCGGTAACTATATCCAGGTAATCCCGGTTATAATATTCTCGAAAAAATATTCCAAATCCATAATATTCCATGACAAAATAATATCCCGCGTAAATATTAATTAAAAATTTTAACCTATACCACAAAATTTGAGATGAGAGTACCTACTGCAATAACCACGTAGTACGTACACTTCGTAGTGATTGTGTTATTAGTGATTTTGTTAGGGTGGTATCGTGTATGGATGGATGGCGAGCTAACCGTTTTTACTTTATCTAATTTACTAACATATTTTCTAATATTTAGAAATTCAAAAATTATAGAATTTCTCCACAGCCAAAATTGAAATAAATTATCAACATTTGAAGGACTTGAAACGATTTTTCATCAATCAATTTAACTAATAGTTTAAAATTTAAACTTTAAATAATTAAAAAAAATTTCCACAAACTAGATAAGAAAAATATATTTTTGAAATGCGATTAAATTGTATATTACACTTTTATTTGTGAAGGATAACAGTCAAAAAATATCATTGTGAAACCAATAAATATTCCGCTGTTTGCTTAATATCTAACTTGTATAATCTTGTAAAATATTATGTATTATACCTAATAATATATAACTAAACGAAAAAAGCTTTGGATCTTTACAGTGTACTATATTATATATTTATTCAGTTATTAAATTTATTACTATCAATTAATTTGTGTTATTGAACAGCACAGCATTTTGTATTAATTTATTTTATATATTTAGTTGAATTCTTGGAAACGGATATCGTGGCAAACGCATTTATACTATTCGCTGCTGGTTTTGAAACAGTGTCTACGGCGATGAGTTTTTGTTTGTATGAGCTCGCATTGAAAAAACCAATACAGGACAAAGTGCGAGAAGAAATGAACATGATGAAGAAGAAACATAACGCTGAGATTGACAATGATTTTCTAAAGGATTTACATTATTTGGAAATGGTATTAGCTGGTCAGTATCTATATATGGTTTTTTATAAATTAAGTTGTACCTATATCATTGACAAAATATAAAAAATATAAATCAATCAAATTGATTCAATTCGTCATGGAATACGAAATATTAAAACGCGTGTGAGACAATATGATTGTGTTAATATATCATTATTAATTAATTAATTTTATTATAATCAAATAATTAATTTATCAAATCAAAGCATTATTGGAAATTTGTATGATGTACCTAAATATTATGTTTCAGAAACTTTACGGAAGTATCCACCACTTTTAACACTGTTTAGAGAAGCTACGCAGGATTACCAGGTACCCGATGACACATTTGTAATCGAAAAAGGTACAAAAGTTCTTATTCCTGCCTACGCAATTCATCACGACTACAGATACTATCCCGATCCGGAGACGTTCGACCCCGAACGGTTCTCACCAGAGGAAAAGGCTAAAAGACCAAATGGAACTTATATGCCGTTTGGCGATGGACCTCGCTTATGTATAGGTATGGTGCTATTGTAATTGAACAATGCCGAAAATACGTTGGGCTCCACACGAGTTTTTCTCAGTGAGGCTGACTTTTTTCTGTAATAAATAATATTTATGTAACTCAATTTATGTTGTCGAAACTTTAGGGAAACGATTCGCAGAAATGGAAATGAAATTGGCGTTAACCGAACTTTTGACCACGTATGAAGTGGAACCATGTGAAAAAACAGACATTCCAATGAGATTCAGTAAAAGATCACTAATTATTACGCCTGAAAATGGTATTTGGTTAAAATTTAAACCCATACACGCATCTAAATAAGCATGAATTCATTGAACCTATTCAATACATATAGGACTTGAGCCCAACAGCTTTTAAATAAGAATAAGTGGTGGGTCGAAAGTATAATATTATACCACAGCACACAAAAAAAAATTATTTTATTTAAGAATATTCAGACAGTTAAGAAGTGGTCATGTCCTCAAAGTTCCCTACAATTTAAGTATATGATCTTCTGTATACATTGTAAAATAAATTACTGAGTACCTACTATGGAATTTACAATGAATATTATTTCACTTTCTGTTATTTACTGTCCAGTTTATTGTAATAGTGTGTGTAGCTGATGTAAATGGTTAAATTAAAAATATTTAAGTTCGTATATTTGGGTGGGTTACCTTGATGCTATACATTTTGGATTATGTGTACGATAGTTGCAATATTTATATTTTGGTTTTTTAATATAACAGTTTTAAATATCAAATAAATTATATTTTTTTAACTTTAAAAATGTATTTTACTAAAAAGTAATAAATATAATTTTGTATTCTTTAATGTATAGGAACATTTGTGTACAATAATAATGTCTACACTATACATTTATACCTCCAAAAACAATAGAACTTCTATAGGAAATAATTTTATCTATTAATTATTCAATTATAAATGTATTGTTACAAAAATGTTTGCGAGATAAATAATTGTGACTATTAGACTATTAAAAAACTCTGTCTCTAGGCTAACATTAAAATGTGTACAACTTTAATCAATGTTATGTTGTTAATTTACTTTTAGGTACCTACTATTATATTTAAGTTTCAAGAGTTTTATGGTTTTCAGTGGTTATGAATCTTTTTGCAAATTAAAAATATATATATTATGTTATATTTATACCTACAGGCCTTTTTCGTTTAAGGCCCGTCACTGATGTGTGTAACACGAAAATATACAAAGGTACATGCATGGTTATAAAAATCCATCAAAATATTAATTTGTTTTATTTATTTTAAAAATTACCTTTCTAAATTATATTGTAATGCATTATCTCAATTGTGTTATAGTAGGTACTTACTACTTAGTAATACTTAACTGCAGGGCTTGAAACCGGTTTCAAAAACTGTTTAAAACCAAAATAAAATTGAAACCGACAAAAATTGGAAACCGGTATTAACTTCAAAACCGAAACTGGAAAAAATTGAGTACCAGTATTATAATAAAAAACCGAAACCGAAAATTTGATTTAAAAAAAAAAAAATTTAATTTTTTTTTAAATCTTTGTATCTTGACATTTTGGAAAGTTTACTTTACACAAAAAGCGATACGAAAGCTCGATCCAGCGATTCAAAAAACTTAATAACCTAAGAATGAACGCAAATAGTTCAGGCCTTGAAACTGATTTTAGAAACTGGTATAAATTGTTTAAAAACTGAAACCGAAATTTTTTCAATCAGTTTCAAGCCCTGCTTAATTTTACTTCCTAGTGTAGTTGATCAATTTATGTAGATTATTGAACAATATATTCCATACCTAGTTGTATGTAATATATACATTTACCAGGTGTACAAAAAATTTCAAACTCTTTAATTACTCTTTGTGTATTTTTATACCTATATAAGTATATAATTATACCTATAACATATAACACCGCTACAAATTTAATAAATTAAATATTTAATCACCTCGATCGTTAATTATTTCCTATTATCGTTTATCAATCCTTATTAGTCTAATCACCGTTTCAAACTTTTTGAACACTCTGTATATGATTTATGGTAATAGTTGAAGCTTCGTAATATTATGTAGTCTTATTACTTCTTTAAAAATCTATTTGTTGCACTAAAAATTTGTTTATTATTAAAAATTATATTACAATTAAAAACTCAACTTTATATTTTTCATCATTATCATAAAACCCAAGTTAAGCTTAATAATATTTTTTGTTAATTATGCAGTGTGAAAAATTAAAAATCATATGATTACGTACTTAAGATAAGTCTATACATCCCTTAACGACCCCTACTATAATGGTCTGTATACCATTTAATAATTTTCTGTACTGTATTAATGTATTTTAAAATATTATAATTAAATTCCTAATTTTCTCCCCGTCGACCGTCGTCAAGGCTCCAAGGGAATTATTAACTACGAAAACAATAATATTGAAGTTGCAAAAAAAAACCACAGCTACACTGTACTGCAACATAGAAAGTTGGTTTATAATATAGTATGAATCCTGAACTCAACATTTGAAATGATCAAAGGTATTCTCGAGACACTTATTAAGCACCGTATAATCAGTCAGTCTTCTATTAATTGATGCTCTCTACACAAATATTATTATAAATATAAACCATAATAATATATTATAAACGCGTGTTGAACATTCGTATAAAATTATATTATAATAAAGTGCATATTAGGTACCTATTATATTGGTATTATGTTTGGCACACTCGCCCGAAACAGAATCATTGTATGCACCATATAAATTGTGATTTTCTGTCTTTGTCTAACGCATCAAGTACAAAATATGGAATTTAGACATGTTAAACTGATTGATCTAACGTGAAGAATTCCGAAAAAAAAGACTTAAATTTGTCGTTGTGTCCCTTAGTAAAAAAAACTATTAGTATTTAATAGTTAACTACTGTAATAAGTAGTTTTTGAATAGTTAACTATTTGACAATGTATAGTTAACTATTACAGTTAATAGTTTTTGAATAGTTAACTATTTGACAATGTATAGTTAACTATTAGAGTAAATAGCTTTTGAATAGTGAACTATTGAATCCTATAGTTTACTAAACAATAAGTAGTTTTTGAATAGTGAACTATTTGGTAACAAATAGTATTTGCTTACTATTGTAAAAATTATATTACCTATATATTTAATATTGGGTCTTCTATTTGTTCACTATTGAACAACGTAGTATTTGAATAGTAAACTATTTGCAAATATAACGTTGCATGCCATTTATAATGTACTATATTTTATTTCTACATGTCCCGTAGGAAACAGCTTTAATAACTGAACTTGTATTTGTTACCTTCAGGGGAGTAATTAGGGGAGGGGATTCCTCCCAAAACTTTTTTTTTACTGCTAAAATTTTGATCAAAGTATTGTTAATAATGACCATTAATGTTTGCTAAAAACGTATACCCCCCACCCCCAAAGCAAATTCCTAATTACGCCACTGGTTACCTTGTGATTATAACACTATATTCACAATTAAAATAACAGCATAAAAATTACATAATATTTAATAAATAAATTGATTATCTTTTTTTATCTGCATTTACCTATTGCTACTAAATACAATAAACATGTTTGCAAGAAATTAACCCAAGTGTTAAATAAAACCAAAAAAATTATAGGTATAGCTTTTTAGTAAATATAATTACTTTATTATAACACGACATTATTCAAATCATCCGTTTATAAAAATCGAACTATAGTTATATCTAGTTAAAATTATCTTTTACAATATTTATAGTAGGTGTTTATTTACTGTAAACCACTCTATAGTAAGCGGTATAATTACTGGAATATTATTTTGGTTTTTGAAATTAGTTAAACCAAAAATGATGTTCCAAACACTATGAGTTGCAGCTTTCTGCAAATTTGAAATATACACAGGATGTAACTTGTTATGATAAACAATTTAATTTCTGACATTTGTAAATTCCTCAGTTTTCTCGTAAGACTACTAATAAAAGTATTTTTAAAAATTTTGATTTTAATTTATGTTTCATCGAGTACCCTTTGCCCAATAAACATATATTTTTCACTGAGATCAAGTGATTTATCTCTGCAGTATTTTATGATTGAGATCGACTTAACCACGTTTTTGATTTTATCCCTAAATATACCTTAAACATAAAAATTAAAGTTATTATTACAATATAGATATCAAATAACTGTTTTCAATTTTTCAAGAAATTACAATCAAAAGATCGAAAATTCGGGAATGCCGTTCTCAAATAGACGAATACGATAAAGTTGAATAAAATTTTATTTCAAAGTTCTTATCGCTTATTCACTATAGGTCAATCGGTACTTAAGATATAGAACACCTTTAAATTTCTGGTGTTGCAGCGCTTTCGCGTGTAAACGAACACAGAAAATCACCGCGGCTTTTTATATACTTACTATTCCCTCAATTTTATATAATATTATAATTATTGTAGGCGTAGTGTTATTATATTATGATATGCCATCAATAATAATTAATATTCCTACAACGCCGTCAGAGACGCAACGTTTTAAATAAAATACAAATCTATATATGGCCCGTTATTATTATTATTATTATTGAAAATGATTATTGCACTGCACGCGGTGGCAATTGGAAGCTGTTACAATTAACGTCAGGTTTAACCGACTGCAGATATGTGTGTGCACAAATAATATATCACTATACACATTTAATAGCTATATGTATATATTGTGTGTTCATGTGCACCGCACTCCAATATATATTGTATCAATTATTTATTATGTTGTTTCATATTATATATATAGGTATGTGAATATAACAACAAGGGTACTATAATTGCACATGTGCTTATAACGCCACTATCCGACTAAACGTTGCGGAATTAAAATAACAAATGCATTTCCCACGCGTACCGTGCTCGTATTATTGTTATGTTGTGTACGAAAATGATATACAAACCGAAAAAAAAAAAAAAAGAAAAGCCGTTGTTATTATTCAGGTCGATTTTTTTAGAATAATATGGTTGAAAAAAATTACATTAATTATCGTATAATAACAGCTTATGATATTATGTAGTTTCGACGTGTGTGTACAATGTACATCAAACGGTAAATCGCTTGTGAACAGAAAACATGTTTTAAGTTTTTAATATCCGTTGATAATATAACAATATTAAAAAAAAAAAAAGGTTATCAAATACGCACGAAGTATATTATATAGATGCAGAATTATTCATAAATTAATCGTATACACGCGAGAAATACGCCTATGAATAACTAAACACCGCATGATGCACGTGTATAAAACAATAAATATAATATGATG